TTATCTACCAGTGACTCATTTACCTTAGTAATATAGTATCTATGTAATCAGGTGTATGACGTCCTCTATCAAATCTATAAAGAAGAGGTGGAGGTATGTCAGTTTCCTCAATAGGTATTTCAACCTCAAATTGATAGTTAGGGCCAGCTTTAGGTTGTTCGTTGGTTGACTCTTGAATCCTATCAAGATCAATATGGCTCCTACTAGCCCTTTTGGATATTAGCTCCCTCTCTTGGGAGACTGTCCTTCGAGCAACGAACACTTTGTTCTTAGAGGGTTGGTTAAAAAACTACCCAAAAGGCTTGTTGGGGTATCCAACAAGATAACATATATTTATTCTAAGATCTAGATTGTCGAGCCCTTCACGATGAGCATAAGCCTCATAATCGTAGACTTCCATATGTGCTAGTGAGGAATGAACCTTACTCCCTTATATAGGTGTAAACCCAATGAATAATATTATTTTAATGCTTTCAAGTATTATCCACTTAATTCCAATAATATTAAAATATTCCTTGGGCATTATCACTTATTTATCCCACTTTGTTAAGTTCTAATTATTTATTAACACTTCAATAAATAATAAATTAATTCACATTTATATATTTATTCTTGCTTTTCATCTTGTGCCAAGTGTGTAACCAAAACATCCCCACATAATTATTATGTCACTAAGATGTTGTTTCAGTAGTCATATCTCCATAATTATATATCGTTCGTGATCGATCCAGAGAAATCTTCGTGACTGAACTTCTTTAGTGATCAATGTATGGGTTACAAGTTTCAAAGAGAATATCTTCGAGTTGTGAAGTTTCCATATTACACACACATATACCATGATAACTCATTCTAGTACTTTCTTAACTTTGACTTTGTAAACCTCATTTGCGAACAAGGTTGGAATCTTGAACACTTGACCAATATGGAGACCGGTTAAGCGGGAATATTCGACCACTAAGATGAAATTTCATTCCATATACCGTTTTAAATTGTACAATTAGTAAATATGTCTTCAACTAATTCTTCCTCTTATTTACATAATATGTACATGACATAATCCATACTGAACCCTAGTTTCTTCAGGTGTATAGCCATTGGTAAAAGATTTTGAATGGTTCTCCAAATAAAGATGTTAACTTTCCCTAGGACTAGTTTATTCCAGTCCCACTTCATATTTATGGATGTGAGCATTCTGTTATTAAATTTATGTTTCAAGAAGAATATTGTAAATGTTTTCTTTGCTTGTATTGCCTACTCCCATTTGTCCGATCCTTTATACAATTACAAACTTCTATAAATTACCATTACTCTTTCTAGTTCCTCCACAATTAACTTGCCCACTCAATACACACTCCCTTCCCACGTGAATACTACTCCATCGTCACATATTATTTTCCTTTCATTTAGGATTGTTTTTTGTTGGTTTCCAACGCATATAATCTAGGAAACAAAGATGAAAATGAAGCGGTTACATTACATGTATTTGATTAAAACCTTGCATAATTTGTCACTGATCTTCCTTTTGAACATTACATATATGTTCACATTTAAAAAGATGTGATTGTGATCCAATTTTTCTATTTGAGTCTCACGTACTTAAAACAATTTTTTGTGAGAAATTTGTCTAAGGCTTCCTTCAAGTCCATGAAGTGTTACTACTATCTTTTTCCAAATTGAATCTTGATCAATTACGAAACTCCACCACTATTTTCCCATTAGAGATAAGTTCATAGCCCTTATACTACCAACCCCTAAACCCCATTCTTGTTAATAGTTTATTCCATGTAACCCTTTAGATCTTTTCCCTTTCTTGCGCTCCGAACCAAAAATTTCTTATGAAGTTATGAAATTTCTTTTTTTATTTAATACATGTGAGGGAGCTTTGAATAGTAAGAAGTAATATGAACACAAAGTTCGATAAACATATTTGAAAAGCATGGTTCTCCGACTGAATGAAAGAATGGATTCCTTTTAGAGTGAAATCTTAGCTTTGAATTTTCGAATGATTAGTTCCTAGTGTTTGCTTCTCTTAATGGAGATACCCACTGCAAGTCCCAGATAAGTGAATGGTAATTCACCCACCGTTAATCCAATTCTTCTAGAACACCTTCCATTGTCCCAAGTTAAAACACCAATTCCAAATAGCCTACTCTTCGACAAGTTCAGTTTGAGTCTAGATATGAGCTCAAAGCATCACAAAATCATATTTAAGTTCAACATACCTTTTCTTAACCGGTCATTAAGAAATATTGTGTCATCTGAAAGTTGATGATGAGAAACTCTTGGTACTTCTTTAGGTAATGTAACTTGTCCAAATAATCATTTTTCTACCGCTTCTTCAAATGATATGTTAAGTCCCTCATTCACTATGATAAAGAGAAATAAGAGAGTGGATCTCCATGTCTGGCCTTTAATTCCACTTTGAATTCATTGATTGGTGAACCATTAATAAGTACCAAGCAGTATGATGAGGAAAGATAATCGTGAATCCTTGTGCACCACTTCCAACCAAATCCCATTTGTTCTATGGTATAATCGAGGAAACTCCAACACTATGTGTCAAATTCTTTCTTAAAATCCACTTTCATTAGCCCAATCTTCTGATGTGATTTTTTAGCCCACGCAATTATATCATTCAATATTAACGACCCATCTAATATGTTTCGTCCTTTTACATAGCCGTATGCGATTTAATGATTAATGCATCTAATACCACCTTTAGTCTTTCAAATAGTATCTTTATAATGATCTTTAAAACACAACCAATGAGGTTTATTCTTTGATATTTACTGAAAGTGAATCCATAAATTTAGGTATCAAGGTGATGAATAATGAATTAGAACCCTTGTCAATAAATGCATATATTTGAAAACGATGTACTACTAGAAACACATCTGATTCAATCGCTCCTCAAAATTTTTTAATTAACACAAAAGAGAACCAGTCCAGTCCGGTCCAGGAGCTTTCAATTCACCACATCCCCAGACTGCCTTTTTTACTTCCTCGGGCATGGAAGGTTCTCCTAAAAAGGTACGCTGAGACTCTAATAACTTCTTAGATTTACTACTAAATAATCTTATTGTTTTTTCGGTTACATCTCATTTGTGAATAAGGATTTAAAGAAATTGAAGTCAACCAACTTAATATTTTTCGGTTCAACCACCACTCACCATTTTATGCTTAAATCATGAATCTTATTGTTTTTTCTATTTTTGTTGATTATCAAGTGAAGGTAAATGGAAATCTCATCTCTATCTATTTCCAATTTACCCTATCTTTTTGCCTTGGATCAATCACTATTTTCTATATAATTTTATAGATCTTTATTTGTTTCTCTTTTATGTCGGCCAACATCTCTTCATGAACTGTCCCATCCTTAGTTCGAATATCTATTTCATCATTTCTACCTTATAGTTGTTTTAGCTCACGGTCTATTCATCCCTCACTCTGTGCCTCCAACTTTTGATATTTTTCTTGACATTTTTGAGTTTGATCGAGATGAAAAATATAGGTGAAGGGAATCTAAGTGCTCTAGATTTGAAGCACCAGCTTTGCTTTCTCTCATGACATTCTCAAATTTTACATTTCCTACCATGAGTTTTAAAATTTAAAATGTATAGGACCAAAATTTAGTTTTTTGATTTTAAGATGGCGTGTCAATGGTTTGATAGCAAAAAGGGAAGCACGGTTGACCTTACATCAAGCAAGTCGATAAAGAACTCCCTTTAAATAGGTATGCTATCTTATTTACCCAAACGTTGCTCAATCAGCCGACATTCTCATGTTCCACCTGCCCCCCTGATCTTGGTTTCAGTTAGACCAATTTCATCTACGAACTTGTTGAAATGGACTGGTCCCATTCATTCTTCCTTACATCTTACCACATTAAAATCTCCCGTTAAAAACTATCAAGCATCAATATTGTTGTTTTTTTAAGTCTTTTAATTCATTCTACACTATTTTTCAATATATTATATGGTGCATAGATGTTAATAACCCGACAGTCAACTTGTTTTGCTTCCCATTTTAGTTTAGTTGTTAGTTTAGTTATTATGAAATTTTCCCTTTTGGTAGCATATAGTCTTACAAACATCTGATTGTTCCGAACAGAGATTAAACCACCCAATATCCCATTTTCTTTCACAACTTCTTAATCAAAATTATTGTTGCTCCAAAGATAGTTTATGATGAAAATTTCAATCTATTATGTCATAATATGAGGTACTCTCATAAAAAATATTTTGTTTTCTCTGCATAATTTTTAGACCTTGCAATTCGTGTATTCGTGTCATGAAAACGTGTCAGCCACGAATTTGACACGATACGATTACATGATGAGAAATAAGTTTTATCTCAATTTTCAAGATGTATTCGTGTCGTGTATTCGTGTCGTGTTGTGTCTCTCACAGATTCATGTACTCGTGTCTAGAACACACCACCCCCTAAATATTTTCAGAGAGAATATTCATTGTTTAACATGTTGTATACATTTTCCTGTGATGATTTCATGTATTGTTTCATCATTACCTTGCATCACAAATCCCATCATATTGCAAATTTCCATGTTTTTTTTTTTTTTTTTTTTTACTTTGTCGGGAGTGGGACAATACCTTTGCGACACAAGTAGAAGTGAAAATTGATGTCTTGCTTTTGATTCTTTCATTCACACAGTGTATGTTGGATTCTAGGTGAGAAATTTCCGTTGCATCTCTTTAAACCCGAGATACTAATTGAACTATATATTTTCAATACTTGATTGTCTCATGCGGGTCAATTGTTTTTAACTATCCGGGGCAAGATTTAAATTTTGTGCCCTTATATATAAAAATTTTACAAAATCAAAAATGCAATATATTTTATAATCAAACAAACAATACAAACAAAAACTTACAGGAATCACCTAAAATGATGTGTTAGTGCATTTTTTTGAAGCAAAAACATCTTTTATTTTAGAATAATCAATATTTTGTAAAAAATCACTTTCGATATTAAAATTGTAATCCATTCAATCTTCTTGAGTCATACTTTGAAAATACGATTTCAAGAGCTTCGATTTTGAGAAGCTTCTCTCCGCAGAAACAACTGTAACCAACACCATCAACAATATCATATATGCAAGCAACACATTAGGAAACATATCCATTCTTCTTACATACTGTACGTCAAAAATATTAAAATCACATGGTTTATCTTTCTCAACAAAGTCTTTTTTATTCAAAATCCTTAGAAATATCAACTGAACTATTAGAAGTACTTGTGGAATATTAAAATTATTAACCGGATTATTTTCACTAACATTTTGACTTCTAACAAAAAAATCTATTCAAAGACCCCTCTTAATTAATTAGCATCTTCTTGTTCCCTTTTTCATTTTGAGCAAACAAAGATATAACCTAAACAATGTTTTCATTTTTTATTCCACTTTCAAGATGTCAAGAAATCTGAAAAATGAACCAAAAAATAAAAAATAAAAACCCATTTTTAATAACTACTGTCGAATAACAATGAATGAAAGAAACTACTGTCTGATCAGAAAATGAATCAATGAATCAGAAATCAGAAATAAGCGAAACACAATAGACAACATTTTACCTGAAGCAAACCACAAATAAATGAGAAAGATTGATGGCAGCAGATTCCGAGCTTACCCAAGCTCGAACAAAAGAGAAGACTCTTTTTATCTATAAATTGAATCACTTAATAACATAATACACATAAATCGAAATACAGAAATCACCCAAATAACTTAAAGAGAAATAGTATTTTTTTTTCTTTATCCAACTCCAATACTCAAACTGAATCAACCTCACTACAAACAAAATGATATTTAGTGGCACACAATTTTAATGGCATATCGTTTTTATGCCACTCTAGTATTTTAATGGCATATTTTTATATGCCACTATAAAATTAATAGATTTAATAAGAGTTAATAAAAAGTTTATGCCACTAATATTAATAAGAAGTGCCCTAAAGTTATTAAATGTCTATTTTCAAACAGTCTTTGTGTTGTCATTCTCGCGTCTCACCGTAGATCCATCGATCGATTAAGCTAGTGGATGCTTCAAGTAGCTCCCTTCGAGAACTAATGATTGAGACCTATAAGTGCAAGAACACTAACCGATCGCCTATTCAAGATCTCAAAGGCGGTCCCTACAATGTAATCAATTGTAAGATTTTATTCTTTATCTTCTCTTGTTGTCATTTCTCATCTGTGTCCTCCTCTATCACCTGTAATTGCTGTCCAACCCCACTCTTTGTCACTAACGAAGGCTGAGAATCGGCATCGCTTGGCGTCCCTCGGCCCCAAACCCTCCCCTCCAGAACTCGTGAACCCTAGGGGTGGTCAAAATCGCTTTTAGGCCGAAGGTTGTTATGGATTTCATCTATATTTTAGTTTCAGTTTGTTGCTTATTACATTTGCATCCTCTACCACTGTTCAAAGTTTTTATTTTTTCCTACTTTATTAGTCGAACACCAAGTGTTCGATGAAATTCCTTAATGAGAACGAACAATATATATATATGCCCTTTATTCGTCACTGTTACCACAATTGTAACTTTGTTTTTCTTTTTTTGTTAATTTTGAAGGTGAAGTAGGAAAAGAAGTATGTCTCATAGGAAGTTTGAGCACCCTGTACATGGTTCCCATGGATTTTTATCCAAGGAAACATGTTGCTCTCCATAGAGGGAGAGGTATACATTTTTTTTGTTGTGAACAATGATGTTTCCTCCTTAATTTCCTATTATTGGCTGCTTTTGCTTAATCCTTATTGGCATAATCACTTGAGCTACTGATAATCTTAGACCTAAAAGCACATTCTGATATGATAAAGTCTTTTTGTCTTTTTTATTAGACTTTAATCAAAACCAGATGATTATATTTGTTAATATTTTGTCCCACTTGTCAAGTCCTGCCCCATATAACAAATGCAGCCTGCCTCTTCTAGATTATGTTGGTTGACTCATAAACTTAATTTAAGAGGACTGATTGACTTGTGTTTTTTGTGATAGATGACTCAAGGGCTAGCACAAACATTCCATGATGGCTTCTCGGTTGGAGGCATGTCACAGGTAATCTCTCTCTCTCTCTCTCTCTCTCTCTCTCTCAAGTAACCATTCTTAGTTTCGTTTACATATGGATAATTTGTTTAATAATCATATGAGAACATGAGGGAAGAAGACTTAAGGTAAGGGGAGTGGCTTACTCATTGTTATGCCCTTCTTTCTGAAAGCATCAAGACAAAAGATATAGAAACACTTGTGTCATGTTTATTCAAAAAGAAACAACAACTTAATTGTCTTGAAACAACATGCAGGATTTCTTGGGTGATGATTTTTGGTAAATAACGAATTTGGACCTGGAAATCGTAAATCATCAGAAGGGAATCTGAAAGAATCTTTGAGATCAATCGATCCCAGACCCGTAAATATCCGTTCCAAAGGTAAGTTTTCCATATATTTCCATTGTTAAATGTTAAACTATTAATCTTTCTTACATCATCATGAAAGTAAGTTATTGAATTTATCTTGATTTGTACAGTTATGGACTCGGTGTAGTTGATTGATTTGGATTATGTTTTGGTATCTGGTCCACTAGGGGATACTTCATCTATAGCAAGTGTTAGTAAAGTGAGCCAAAAAGCATTTAAATCAGGAAGCCCACCTGTATATTCTAGGGTGAACATTCATTAAACACCTAGTGCACCTTTGCCCATCATTGGTGGGACCTCTAGTAAAATCCGGTTGACCGGGAGCTTTGAAAGTCAATGCTCTGCACCCTCTGGAACATCTGATGGATCGGTTGATATAGTTGATGCTTTAGAACAACCATCAACTGACAGCATGACAAGAATCAAGTCATTGCATGATTGCGCCTCTGCTATCTCTGACTTGGTCAATGAGAAGGTGTGTTGGAAAACAGTTTATACTTTAAATGCTACTTTGATGCTTTCTGTAAATTAGTTTACTTTTTGTTTCTGATTGTTTTCATTTCTTGTTTTGGAAAAGATCGAGTCTGGGAATCGAATTGAAGCGTTTTCAATTCAGCTTGTGATTCTTGCTATATGGAAGCAAGCACTGGATATCTGTCACACACAGGCTGCTTCAGCTATTAAAGGAAGTCCAAACCTAGATATTTCAACTTCTAACAAGATCTCAAAAAGGGAACGCGATAATACTAATATTAATGAATGTCTGGAAAATGCAAAGTTTCCAGAGGATGTTTGTTTTTTATATTGAGAGAATATTTCTTGGTGAAGTTGAAACTGTCGAGGAACTTACCAAAGTTATAGAGCCTGGTATGCCTTTTAAATATTTGTTTTGCTTATGATGAATTGTTCATATATTGGCATATATTATCTATCATCTAATCAGGCAAAAATAGTATTAATTTTTTAGTCTTTAATAGTCATGATCTTGTGATTGATGTTTAAACTAGTTTCGTATTGGGTTCAGAGACAACACTAACTCTACTTCGACATATTGATTGTTGCATCTATTACTCATTTAAATACATTTCAAGGGGATTGGACGATCTTTTATTTTTATCCTTCTTTTTAATGCAAACTTTTTGTTTTATTTTGGTATGTGAAGATGAAAAGCAAGCTATGGATCACAACTTGCAACAACTTTTCACCCATGTTGTAAAGCTGTGAAAAGTCAATTGCAAAACGTTCATGGTGCACTTATGGTTCAATTGTTCTTGGTGATTCATATTTAAAGCAACTGTGGCTCAAGGAAGTCAAGGTAATCATAATATTTTTAATCTTTTATTTGATTGTAAATCAAGGCCCTCATAATGTGAAAATTACTTATTGAAGTGTTAGAAGGGCAAAATGGTCATTTACTGTCACTAGTCTAAGATGTGATCATATACCGTATTGTAGAGACTAAAGTATGGCTGCAAAAGCAAAAGATTAAAATAATTAATTTGTGCTTAATGAGTAATTAGTGATTAAGAAGAAAATACAACTTTTATTTCACTAGACAAAATTCTTTTTTATTTGTTAGTATGTTTATAAACAAAAGAAACAAACGTGATTATAGAATATAAATTACTAAAAGTATAAAACACAAAATAAAGAAATTTATCATTAGATAATATGATTTAAGTTTTAAAATATTAAATCTATTTATTCGTCATTAATTTCTTATTTTATTTTGTCATCTTAACTTGCATTTTTGTCGAAATGTATTTGTTAGTTATAACTTTATTTTGTTATATGCTAATCGTTGGTTAATATTGTTGTGTATATAACATTAAAATGAACCCATCTACTTTGATGTGCTATGTAATAGTATATTGTATTAATTTTCTTATTTAGCTTTTAATAAGTTATAACTTGAAGTTGAAGTTGCTAAAGTTATAGTTTGTTTACAGGAAGAAGTTTCTAACCTTCAACAACAATTATATGACAAGATCATGAAAGAAAGACAAGTGAGCAAGTTATTTGAAGAAATGCGGTGATGAATAATATGCGAGTTTTTGTAGAAACTACAAGCATCTAATGCATTATAAAAAAGGAAACCTTTTACTCGATTCTTTGACAAAGAATTTATCGAAATTGTAATTATTTTGCATATTATTGTTTGTTAGTTAACTTTTGTTTCAAATAATGATATTGGTATGTCAATTTATAATCTTAATTGGATTTTTATTATTTCAATTGAATCAAAAAAGTAATTGGACCTAATTTCTGAATATATATATATATATATATATATATATATATATATATATATATATATATATATTTTGCTAGAGCATGTGCCCCTAAAAGTAGGAAAATGACTTATTTTAACAAATGTATTAGTGGTATAAAAAAAGTGTCACTAAAACTAAAAATGTTATAGTGACATAACCGAAAATGCCACTAAAACCCGCAGCGGCACAACAAAAAAGTGTCACTAAAGATTTTTAGTGGGAGCGCTTTTAGTGACATTTTATTTTTGTGCCGTAGATTACAAAGTGAGTTTTTAGTGACACTTTTTTGGTATTTAGTGACACTTTTTTTGTGCCACTAAATGTCATTTTATTTGTAGTGTGAAACGAATCACTTAATCAGATTCAGATACAATGAAGATTGAAAAGGTGATAATTGATTTCAGCAAGTTTAGAAAGGAATTAGAAGCACGCTAAGAAAAAAAAGAACTCACCTGCTGACCTAGATCAGTTGTCCTGTTGAAGAGAAACCACAAATAATCGCAAAAAAAATGAACAAATCAAGCAGAAAAAATCAACAGCCACAAACCTTACTCGGTTACTCATTTCTTTCGTTTTCGGTTTTCTTATTGCTTTGTGCAAAAAAAAATAATAATAAATAAATAAAATAAAAAAATCTAACAAATCAAGCACAAACGGTACTAGTGAATCTAACTGAACTGAGAACTAAAGGTTGAAAAAATCGAACTTGATCGATTGCTGTCGATTTACATCGATTTACAGCAGATCAGAATACGAGAGAATAAGGATTAAGGAATATAAATCGGACCAAGAGAGCTGAGATAGTTTAGTTTCAGTCGATTTACAACCCATATTCCACGATTTTCAAGGTTGGGAAAACCGATTTGACGATTGAAGTTCTCAAGAGCTGTCGATTCTTTGTCGCTCACGCCTTCCGCCTTCCACTCCTGCATCCAGACGCTTTCCTTCTTGGACCGGAGCAGCTAACTTTTGGGCCAATATATATATATATATATATATATATATATATATATATATATATATTATATATATATATATATATATATATATATATATATATATATTATTACTTATTGGACACATATTATGCCCCATTCTTTTTGATGCCCTGGGCCTAAGCCCAACTCGCCCATGTATTGGGCCGGGCCTACAAGTCATATACATCTACATGATAAGCATGAAATTTTTAGATGTCATGGTAACTAGATTTACGCAAATATCGTGGTCTATATAACTTCATCACATACTTGCATGATTTATGAAAGCTTTCTCGTGCGGCCATTCTAAAATTACCATCTAGTCTATCGGTGGATGGGGGAGTGGTGTCATATGATTGTCATACAAAGTGTGGCTGTGTATTTTTGTAAAGGACTAAAACGTAATGTACCTCTTTCCTATGGACTTTCTTGTAAATATGAACATGCTTCCATGAAGTCTTTGACTATACACTGAAACATATGTGTGTGCGATCGAAATCGTTGTCGAAAACAATACCCTTGAAAAATCCATACTCGTCAAAATAATCATGCATGAGATGTTAGTAGACAACTTCACAATCTCTATGTATATATTTTCCATTTTTCCATCTCATATTTTCATTTCCCTACGTACGTAGTTATTCACTCCTACTTGCCACTGTTTTAGAAGCGCACACCGCCGCTTATAGCACCCTGTCAAAAGGTTTTGAAGATGAAGATGAAGACAATTTGAGTGAGTAGATAAGAAAATTTTGGTGTAGTACAAATAATGTATTAGGTTGATATTTATAGAGTTTAGGAATTGAATCTTTTTTTTAAAAAAAATAGTCGGTATTGGTTGATCAACAAACGAGAGAGAGAGAGAGAGAGAGAGAGAGAGAGAGAGAGAGAGAGAGAGAGAGAGAGAGAGAGAGAGAGAGAGAGAGAGAGAGAGAGAGAGAGAGAGAGAGAGAGAGAGAGAGAGTCATGTTGCCCTTGGCGGCTTAGCATGCCAACCTCTCGGTGTAACCGATGCCACCTTAGCATCCCAAGATGCCTTGCCATCCTAGTCCCCATAGCCTAATATAAATCCAAGGATTCTTGATTTTTAGCGGTCTTACTTATGAAACGTTTGAAAAAAAAAAGCTTATGACTTATTAGCTTTTAAGTTACTAGCTTATTAGCTTAGAGGCTAATAAGTTAAAGGAGTTAACTTATAAAAAAAATAACTTCTTACCGGTTTGTCACTGATATAAATTATTTTTATCCAAACATTTTTTTTATTAGTTTATAACAATTTGAAACCCGTAATTAGGCGTGCACAAAAAAACCGGTTCGGGAACCGAACCGCCTCATAAACCGGTAAACCGGTTTGACGTGAACCGATTCAAGAAGAACCGATCCGGTTTGAGAACCGAACCTCCGGTTTGGACAGGTTCGAGATTATAGATGTTGGAACCGGTTTAGAAAAGGTTTAGTGGGAACCGATTTAGAACCGGTTTAGTGGGAACCGGTTTAGTGGGAACCGCCATCATCATAGCTCCTTATCGCCATCGAACACCACCATCATCACCTACCTTCACCATCTCCACCGGACTCATCGCCATAAACCACCACTGCTATTGTAGCTTCTCCGAGCCACCACCTCCCGTGTTTGCTTTCATCGGGCAAAGGAACTCCAAAAGTAAAATACTAGAGAAAGGAACTCGATATATATATATTGCTATTTTTTCTACTGGAAAGTTACTTCAAATATATATTAATATATATATATATATATATGTATTGCATGATGGACAGAGGCATGACTACTAAAAAACAAATGCATGATCGACACATGCGTGTACTTTTATGCATACAGACTTTTTTCTTTTTTATCCTTTCTTACTGTGAAACTCTATTTTCTGCAGGAAAGCAACAGTATAAAGCAACTCCTTTTTTGCTGTCAATTTTAAATTAAATCAACAAAACAAAGAAAGAAACAAAAAAGTCCAATGAACCGGTTTGAAGAACCGGTTTTCTTGTGAACCGGTTTTTGAGGAACCGAACCGGTCTATAAAGTTCATATATTTTTATTGAAGAACCGGTGTTGACCATATTGACTTGAACCGAACCGGTTTTAAGAACGGAACCGGTTGGAAAAAAAAAACCGGTTTGTACACGTAATAAATTAATAAACTCAATTGCCAAACAATTCGTTAATTGTTTTGATATTTTTTTTGTTCAGGCCATTATTCTCAAATAATTGATTATCTTTTCGATTTTTTGAAGGCCCATTAGACATTTGATATTTCTTTTCGTTATTTACTGGCAGCTACTCTTTCTTCCCTTGATTTTCGCACGTTATCCACCAAGAACTCCATTCCTCTATTTTTCTTGGAAACAACCTTACTTTATCAATTGTTAACAAGTATCCAGCCTTCTATAATAATTATGTTACGCACCTGTTGTGCTCCCCCAATGTTCACATGTTCTTAATTTTTAATTTTGTTTCGGTCACCTTCTTCGGCGATGTTTCACAGTCATCGTCGAATACCGATAGTGACTCTCAATCTGTTTCAGTACCTTCCTCATTACTCAATCGGGTTTGAAAATATTACATGCCAGAACCTGTGAGACCCTGGAGAATGTATTCAATCTCCTTTAAGGTGTTGATGTTCATAAGGACTTCAAAGGATTGGACCTCTCCAGTTATTATACTGTGAAGCACGATCAAGCTTTCATATGCAGAGATCATCTTTATGATTCTTGTTTCCCTTTCTCTTTCTTTCTCCTCTGTAGTCGATCTGTTTGATACCTTTTTCCCTCCTCGTCGATTTGCTTAGCCTTCTCACAATGTCTGCGTATGATGCATCTAAAGAAGAGAATATGATTGTTGAATACTCAGTTACAAAGTGTTACTTAAAAAAGAGGGTAAAGTATAACCATGGTCATCACTAAAAAGCTATACACAATTCTAAAATCTCTTTAGCTATGTATTTTAGGTTGTGCATATATTTTTATTGAACCATATCCGTATGTTTTTGTTGGAACTGGGTACCCAACTATTTTTGCTGAAACCCGAATCAGAACCTGGTCTAGTTTTGAATATCCGGTCTTAAAATTTTTTAACTTCATAAATATACAAATTAAATAACTAGAATATTAACCACTACAAGTAAAAAAACAAATCAAGTAGAATATAAATTATCAGTCGTCTACGATATATATCATCGTTTAAAAACAAAGAATATTCAACTTTCATGTTACAGAAAACTGATCGAAGAACAAATGTTGAATTTTTAAAATCTTAAATCAATCGGTAAATATTGGCCGTATGGGAGATACGTACGCCAAACTACGTGGTTTCCCTCCACATCACCACCATCTCTTTTTGTCTCTCCACCAGCTCCTTACACACAATTGTTGGTGTACTTGTAACCATCGTGCACGTGTACTATGTATACCTGACTTTATATATGTATTGTGGTTAACATTAACTCTTTTCTATTATACATTAGTTGCCTATATTAAGGGTTTTCTTTTCATTCAATCTCCAATTACTTCTCTTGCAATTGTAAGTATTAATAAATTTTGCATTGCAATTCTATGTATAAATTTTGCATTGAACCCTAGCATCGTATGTGAACAGTGTATTTTCGTGCCCTCTCTCTCAACTACATGCCTGCAAACATTGAAAGACACAAGATGAAAATAGGTGAAGGCAAGGCAGCTAACGGTTCCAAAAACTAAGAACCGGAACCGAAAACGCTTACAACGGTTCTAGTTCTAGAACCTCTTACAGACGTTCTGATGCTAGAACCGATGATTACAAGATTGTTGCTGTTCCAAAGATAAAGACAAGTAATTAGTTCCATTACTCACCTAATTTATTTTATCAACCAAAAAAAAAAAGAATTTGTATGT